TCTACTAATTACAAGTTGGGAACTCACTTAGGTATGATTCCCCCTAGCTACTCATTAAGTCCAAGTTGCAATTACCTTTGGTTGATCTACTGTTGATTAAACAGCGGAAGATCCTAAATTAGCTTGGAATCTCTTAAGCTGACCAAGCCCTCTCAGACAGAATACTCGGCAGGCGACTAGCCTTCACCGGGATAGACTACTAAGGCGATTCACACAGATCTCCACTACTGGAATGAATTCCAATACAAAACAGTGAATTGATTGACTCTCGCACAACCAATGCACCACTATCAATCAAGGAAGCTCTCTTAACCTAATCAGATTCTATCTATCATAGGTTAAAGAAGAAATCAAGAGAATTTGATCAAGATTCAATTGACTCAATAAATCATTCCTCAATCGATTATAATCAAACAATATAGCATCCAAAACTTCATACAAGAAAGATCCTAACACATGGAACTAGGGTTCCTCAAAACCTAAGTGAAGGGAAGTTACTCCATAGAGAAGAGAGAGACTGCAGAAATCTGATCTAGATCTTCAATCTCCATCTCTAAGCTTGATTCCTGAGCTCCAAAGGCGAAGAAATCCTCCAAAATAGCTCCAAGAATGTTACCAAGTCGCTCTCTCTCTCTAGGGTTCGTCCCTTGGGTGTTTGGGAACCAAAAACCCAGCTCCCCCTTTCCTTTGACTCGAATCTGCCTCAAAAACCTGATTCTGGGCGAATTACGGGCTGAATTACGGTCGTAATTCTTCCATGCCCGTATTTCTCCCAAAACACGCGTTTTGGTTAAGTTTCAGCGCACCCAAAGCTCCTCTCGGCAGTGAAATTACGGGCATGGGAGGGGAAATTACGGTCGTAATTCTCCTGCCCATAATTCTTCCTCCGCTCCTGTTCAAAGCTTCGTTTCTCCCTCGTCCGGACTCCAAATCAGTCGCCTTTTGAACCCAGACGCTCGTAGTCTCGTCCTCTTTCTTTTCATGACAAGCTTGCATGATTATTTGTCCATAAAGTGAGGTAGAAATCCATTCTTCTTCAGGTCATGCCCGAGTTTCTTCTCCCTAATCGCCAATTGATCTCTGATTGACTTGAAACTTGCGCCTATGCTTCACTTTATGTGCTAGGGCCTGAAATGTGACAAAGGAACACAACCTAGCGTAAAATAGGCCAAAGAAGCGATAGTGCAAGCTTAAACGATCAAGAAACAAAGGGGAAAACATGTGCAAATATCGAGTCATCAAAGAGCTAGAGGAGCAGTTAGTGAGCAGCGAGTTCGAGGGCAGCCAGCTAGAGGAGAGCAGTATAAGCGTCACGGAGGATGCTTAGTCAAGGTTTTCAGTAGCAACAACATTATAGATTATTAGCTATTTACATTTATGACTATGAGTATTGATTGGAGATCATTTTGAGATTTTAAGTATTGAGTTTGCCCATGTGTTAGGGCGTTGCTTTGAACTACAAGTGTGTGTTTTCAGTATTTTATTTAGTAAAATTTTTCCAGCTGCAATTTAAGATTTGAGTATTTTATTTATCAAGGGCAATTTAGTAAACGTAGTACCCGGCCGGGTTTGGGTGTTACAAAAGGTGGAGTAGAACTCCACACACAGCTCGTGGTAGATATCCTCATCCATCGTCAAGAGCTGGCGCCACTGGGGGTGACAGAGCACCCCGGTCATCGCGGCTCGACACCAACAATGCGAGACAAAAATCACAATATCTTCGACGAGAAAAAGGATGGGTTAGCAGCTTGATTTGGACGGTTGGAAGTCGGCAAAGCAGTGGGCAAATACTCATGGGTCTCTGTCTTTCTCAACGTCCGAGGCATCTCACTTTGCTGGGCCGACCGTTAATTACATAAAAAATGAAACATAAGTGAAAAGGAGAGCAAGAAGAAAGAATAGAAAAACCCTCGTCCCTTCCCCTTCCATAATGCCGCAAACACCACATGAAGTTTTGCTCTCTCGCCGCCCTTTCCGCTCACACAACAAACAATTACACGAATGAATAGAAGGTCTTTCCCAGAGCTACAGAAGCGAAAACATATCATCTCGACATCGAACTCACTCCTACTCGATGTATGGACGGAATCCACTTCTAGAAGTCCCTGCCAGCTCACCGACCCACTGAAGGAAGTAAAAAGCTCATTGACCCACCGACACGACAACAACACAGGCTATACGAACGGCGGAGAAAGGGATACTGCCCGCTCCCCCGTCGTCGATTGCTGGACAGCGATCCCAAGCGGGCAACTGAAATCCAAAAAACGGAGACTGCAGCAAGCAAAGTGAAGGACGTCCAATTTTCTCATTTGGGCCGGAGACGTCTCTCTTTGCTGAAAGCCCATTTGGGCGCGCGTTTCAGCAGACCGGCCACATCACAAAGTTTAAACATTTGTTCCTCCATCCCCAAAATTAGGGCTGGGAAAATAGACCAGACCGTTAGAAGAATCGTGGTTCAAACCATACCGCAGAGTTTGGTCCGGACCGTAGACTGTTAAGTATGATCTGGTCTGGTCCATGATCTGTATTATTTTATGTATTGATCTCTTGATCTGGTCTGCTCTAGACTGCGGTTTACCGGACGAAATCGTGGATCCAACCGACTTGTCAATACGTGTTAACAACCCATTCGACCACTCTCCCAACTCCCACAACGACACCTAGTCTCAACCTTAGTTTTGTGAATCTCGTCCCTGCTTCATTCACAACCACATTTAACTAGAGAGTAGAGATAATCGTGTCTGCATATGACATTATGTTAATGTTTGTGACGTTATGGTGCAAGTTGGGATGCTTTTACTTTGTATCTTTATTATGTACAAAGATTTAGGGTATAAACATCATTCATGCATGTTAGGATTAATGTTCTAAGGCAAATAACAATTATTTTTCTTGGTTATTGGTTCAATTTTTTTGTGTGGTTGGCTGAACAAATTATTCATTGTTCGTTGAGTGTGGTCTATCTTGACCAGACCAGACCGAACCAGACCGTACAGGCATGGTCTGGACCCGACCATATAGCCTGTGGTCTATGCTTCAACCTCTCCGTCTGGACCATAGACCATATATATGGTCTGGTCTGGACCAGACCGCACCGTTTCCCAGCCCTACCCAAAATACCCATAAGAAAATCACTCTGAGGCAACAAATTTCGAATGGGGAGAAGTTATGATATCGAGCTTTTAATATACTTGTACTTTGGGTTATGCACCCATCAGTAACTAAACATTTAGAAAATTCAGATCTAAAAATGGAGAATTAAATGTCATTTTTATTTTCCCTTGCTTTCTTAATCGACTCATATCTTCTTCGTTTTAACTCGGATTTCAATTTTTTTTGCATAGATGGAATGAGTTCGTTGTGCTCTACAAAATGAGATCCATTTTTTCAATATTTTTTGAGAAAAAAAATTATTGTCTCTCGGTACCAATTGCATAGCATATTGTATTTTCTTAGTTTTTAATTCATTTTTGAAAATTTTTGCACAGAAGGAACGAGTTCATCATGATCTATTGGATCTACAAATTTCTAGGTGAACAAAATACAGGACCAAACAATACCACACAATACTACCGTGGTACAAGGTGGTATCTTGTGGTACACAATGTTAAAAGTCATAAACGACAGTTAATATACTTTTACTATCATGTATTCAACCATCCTATAGCCTTGGTTTGTTAATACCACCATGGTACACTTTTCAAACCATAGGTATGCTCTTATTTCAATACCAGTCAATACCATATGGTATAGATTGGTAAAAAATGGCTCAATTTTTTTGTTCCAAAAATATATCAAAGTGGATATTATTTTGAAAAACACAATTAATCTGATCTAACTGTCCAAAAAAATTAAATTTCGACTTAAAACGAGTGAGAAATCGTCTGTTAAAGATTAAGGGGGAAAATTAAAGACTTTTCAGGAGAGAGAAGGGGCGCTGATGTGGCGAATGGTGATTGGGACCAGAAGGTTATTGACCAGAAGGTTATGACCAGATCTACTCTTCTTGTACTTGTATATTAGTGAGGGGCTAAGATCCAATGGCTCCAATTAATTCAATTAAATGAATGACAATGTAGTAATTGCATGACTTTATTAATTTTTATTATATTTATTAATTAAATAGCCTTATATTTCTGCCCCGTGACCCCGTCACTCTTCTCTGGCCGGGAATTTTCCCGGAAAACTCTCATTTCTTATGCTGACCACGGATCCAGCACATTGAAATTTTTTCCGGCGTTCCATTCCCTGGTCCATTTGCCAATTGCATTTTTACCCAGGGAGAGGTGGGCGCCTGGGAAATGTAGCGAACGAGAGAGAGAGATGCTTTTTCGTCATCGGCGACTTTTCTGGCGACAAAGAGGATTTTCCGGCGACAACGTCTGTTTTGTTATGTTTGTCGGACGGTTTTGTAATGTTTGTAAGTATGTTTTGTGATTTTGTATCAATTCGGTTTGTATTATTTATCATTCTAGTTTGTCATTTTTATCTATTATGTTTTTAATGTTTATATGACTAATTTGTATACATCTTAATTTGTAATGTTTGTTTGTCTAGTTTGTATAATTTATGTTGTGATTTGTATACTTTGTATTCATTGATTTGTAATACAAATTTACTGTTTTGTATTGTAAGTAGTTGCATTTGTACTGTTAGTATGTTTTGTAATGTTCGTATGTTTCGTATTGTGTATAAATATGTTTGTATGTTTTATTGCTCTAGTTTATATTGTTCATACTATTTGTAAGTCTGATTTGTATAATTCGTAATTTTCCATAATACCAAAATACCCCTGTTATTATTTAAATAGTCATTCCCATTTTTTAACCGTCAGATTGTTTTGTCTAGATCTAAAGGCTGAGAGGGTTTAATCAAGTGATCAAACACCTTAGTCAATAGTCATAGCCTATAGGATCCGGACCCTATTAGTGAGTCCCTCGTAAAGTTTCCCCGATCGGAAAGAAATAAAGAATCGTATCTCTTCAAATATAGTATCTTTTGCTTGCTTCATCGTTCTGTCTTTTGTTGGGTATTCTGTTCAACTCCTCCGTTGATTTCCGCCAATCCCTTTTAACTCTAACGGCGGGTTTCAGATTCAACTGGTGAAAAGTGTTAACTGTTGCGTTCGAAGAAGTTTAATTAGAGAGGATATTAATGGAAGAAGGCAACAGAGGAAGCCAGTTCAAGAGGATCTGCGTGTTCTGCGGAAGCAACTCTGGCAATAGAGAAGTCTTCAGTGACGCGGCTCTTCAGTTAGGGGATGAACTGGTTGGTCCTCTTTAACGTTTTGATGTCTTTTTTCAGTCAGTTGTTTGCGTTGCTGGGTGATTATTGACCTATCTGGACTATCGGTTGACTTAGTTTCTTGTATTGTGAAATCGGCTTTGGTTTGTTTTGACAAGTTCTGTATGTGGGCGCAATGTTTGACTTTGTCGCCATATCATATCTATCTGGGTAGTTGAGTTCCGAGCTTTGGATTACAATCGGGACAGCCAAGTCGAATTTGTTTGAAGGTTTCGTGCAATTCAGTTCCTGACTACTTGTGTGGCTAGCTATGCTTCATATCTGTTTGTTTTGTTTGGCCCAACCCTTCTGTTTCGCTTGCACCAACGAATTTCAGTTTTAAAATCTTTGTACTCACAGATGGGTTGTGGATTTCAGGTTAAGAGAAGGATAGACCTGGTTTATGGTGGAGGAAGTGTTGGACTAATGGGTCTGATATCCCAGAAAGTTTATGATGGGGGCTGTCATGTTCTTGGGTAACTTACTAACTCCCTAACCATCAGAGTTAACTGATGTCAGCTACGAAAGAGGAATGTGGTTGGCACAGTTTTGATGGTTCTGAAAGATTAACTCTTGTTCTTACTTCTTACTTGTCTCCAATGCAGTGTCATCCCCAAAGCACTGATGCCTATTGAGGTGTCCATTTCTTCCCCTCTTTTGGTTTGACTTTCTTAATTCTCTTCTGAAACAGTGTCTGTGGCCTTGGTTGGATACAATTTCTTCCATGGGTTGGTAATGGATTGAGTTGCCTAAAAATGAATCTGCTTTTTCATTTGAATTATAAGACTTGTGATTTATTACGTCAAATTAACCCGAATTGCCTCTTGTCAAGTGAAATTACCTGCATTGTTATCTGGTCTTTCCAAAACCAATGTTAAGGCTATGAAACATAACGTGATGCATTTGGGTAAGGGCAAGAGAGAAGTGTTAAGCAGTTTGTAGTAGGTTTGTCGAAGTTGCCACTAAATCTTTGTTGTTCCTGGACATATTTCAGATTTCAGGTGAATCGGTGGGAGAAGTAAGAACAGTATCAGATATGCACGAGCGTAAGGCTACAATGGCCAAAGAAGCGGATGCTTTTATTGCTTTACCTGGTACACACACGTAGGAGAAATGTTGAGGGTAATGATGAACATATAACTTTTTGTATAACTAGTAACCTGTTGTGCCGTATTCTTTCAGGGGGATATGGAACCATGGAAGAACTGTTGGAGATGATTACATGGTCGCAACTTGGTATTCATGAGAAACCGGTAACCCATTGGTCTTTGCCCGGCATGCTATTAAGTAACTGCTGACTATCTAATCTAATCTAATCTATGGGTTCCATTTATCTGTTGAAATTGTTGGTATTTATTATCAGGTTGGACTGCTCAATGTTGAGGGCTATTATGATAGTTTACTATCACTATTTGACAAAGGTGTCCAAGAAGGTTTTATCAAGCCTGGTGCTCGCAGCATAGTTGTGTCTGCTCCAACGGCAAGAGAACTTCTGGAAAAGATGGAGGTATTTTTTCTGTACACCTTCAATCCTTGAATGACTGACTCGTTTACAATATGAGTCGACAAGATGAAAGTGATGAATAAGGTTAGGAAATTTGATAATAAGAGGTGCTTTTTTGCGGGAAAGAAACCCCGTAATGGGGTCTGTTTCATTTTAGTTGCACTTCAGCAATAAGTACATGTACCGTTGTAGGCAGTATAGCACAGAGTCCCATGTCAGTAAACAACAATTCTTTTGTTCTCTTCTGCTCGAATTCTGTTTTTCCTGAAAACAGCACAAAATAGAAAACGTAAGTTCTGTATATGTTGATCTCAAAGTTCTGTATAACTGACAACTCATATGACAGTGATTGCAGTTAATGCCTTGACTGGCCACGTTGTGCAGTGAGTTTAGGATTTATAGTCTTTATAGCCTTGTTTGGTCTGGGCCAAATGACTTAAAGAGTAAACATCTTCGGAATTGTTTCCCTGCAGCTATACATCCCATCGCATAAACATGTAGCTCCTCACAAGAGCTGGGATATGGAACAATTGGGCGATTATCCAACAAATCAGAGCACATAATCAAGTGTGGATCACAGGTCTTCTCTCACCGATTTTAGCAAATGATCAACTATGTGATTTTTTGTAACGAAGGATTGACCCGTCTTTATTGTTTCTTGCCTGTTTGTGATGAAAGAAAGGAGAATAAACTCTCTCGGTCTTATATTTTTACGAGACTTAATTGAGTTATAGTCATTTCGACCATACAAAAGTCCCAAATGACTCTATCAAGTTATTTTCAAATACCTCCTATCAATGAGTCATTCCCAAATCACTCATTATTTAGTCCAAATGTTCCAACTATGTTCTTACCCTACTTTATGTAAACCCACTTCTATCCTTCTCTTTCTATTATTTGTTTTCTATGTCATTACTTCGTCTCCTCTCGGAATTATTTTTCTCTCCCAAATTTCATCAACGGTGAAGAGGATCGGTCATCTACGTAACGCGTATAATTTTCGTTCACAAGCACTACCATTTGTAATTAGCTTAAAATTCGAGACTTATGGAGGCGTTATCCTTTATAAAAAGAGTTAACATATAATTATACTAGCACAGGGCTCGACCCGTTGGTCGGAGAACTTAATAGTTACATAATTCATATTTGTTGTTTACGCTAATGATGTGATCTGTTCGTTATTTGGTCATCGACTATCTAAGACACATATTCAAACTATTCTGAACATGTTTAGAACGTGTTGAAAAAATGAGGATGATAAAATGATTAAAAAAAACAACTAATAATGACATACATATTACAAACAAAGTGTTGCCCACATAAAATGTCTATGAAGAACAATATGAAATTTTTTCATGTGGTACATACATAAACAATAGTTATCATCAAAGAAAATGATTGTCCTTTGATGGAGTTCAAAGTATCCATAAAATATATTTCCCAATTTTATCTTCTTTATTGATCATGACATGAATCATACATTTGAAATTATATGAATTGAATGAGAGACAATACTTAGCTAGACAAATGTAAGGGTTTGTATTTTGATGTCTTAGTGATAACCATATATCCTTAATATGACCAACAAAACAATGTAGTAATTTCCTTGCAACTCCTACTATTTTAGCAATAATAACTCTTGAAATAGAGTTTTCAAATTCGGGAGACATATCAAAGTAGGTAAGGCTACATCTAAGATAAGTAAATTGACATAGATGTAGATTTTTGAATTTCTTATTCGGTGGACCCAGTGAAATTAATTTACCTTTTCAATTAGGGCTGGCTATTTGGACCGGGACCGGATGAAAAACCGGAAATCGGACCGTATAACCCGGACCGAGACCGGACCGGGACCGGATAGTAAACAATCCAATCCAATCTTTGGGCTTAGATTTGAGGTAAAAAACCGGATAAAGACCGGATAAAAGAGCTCAACACCCAAAACTTAAGGGTAATTTGCATAAACGGTCACAAACCTTTGCACTTAGTGCAAAACTTAACCAACTCCTCACCCTTTTAGGCCTTAGGCCACTCAAATTCCCACAATCTCAATATAAAATCAAGACCGAATTGGGACCGGACCGGGTCAAGACCGGACCGGATCAAGACCGGACTGTATCCAATCTTCGGTCCTTATATTTTCAAAAAAACCGGACTGGACCGGATCAATTTGGGCCAATTTAACCGGACCGGACCGTATAGCCACCCCTATTTTCAATAAGAGAGATGTGTGCAAATTGTTTGTCATCTTTCCACGGAGTGTCCTTTATTGTTATTCAGCTCTGAACCTAAGATTCACATACCACCAAGGTTGTCAACCCGTGGGTTGACCCGGACCCGGTCGAGCTAATGGGTCAAGGGTTAATGGGTCGACCGTTTTAGCCCGGTTTGGCCTGGAAATATGGAAAGAGTCATTATATTGTACTTATCCTCGTAAATTATATCAAATCTTATCTAACATATGAGTTATAACATATAATATTACACCAAAATAACATATCGTACTTAGATCCAACACATAGTGAAAATTCAACACACTTATATAACATAAATATTCAAATAGGATTTCAAAAATTGAGTTAGGCGAAAAGAAAAATCGGAAAATAGGCGCATTTCGTAAATCAAAGAAAAAAACGATACAGTTTGACCTCCAACCCGGTACCTTGTAGCGGTCGACCCGGCGGGTGCGTGCGGCCCGTTTTTCTCACTGGGTCAGGGTCAAATTGGGTCGACCCGCGGGTTGACAACCTTGCATACCACTCAATCCTCGAGTTTTTTTTTTTTTTTTTTGATTTCTTATGGGAAAGTTTTTTCTTTTATAATAAGTAGGAAGAAGCTAGAGAAGACGACGGATCAATGAAGGGAAAGATAAACTTGGATCAAAGCTGGGGAAGTGGAGGACGTGATTAAGAATGATCGATGAAACAGACCTAATGAATTCCTTCAGTTGGGAGACATTGTTTAAGATCTATTGTATTTGTATTGTACTGAGATGGGCTAGAAGAAATAACTGCCTTTACAATGATATGACTTTTTCACATAAATAGTAAATACTATGTTTCATAATCGTATATTGAATGTAATGTACGTATTTTGTGCATTTAAAGTTTTTGTGTACTATTGCTATATTATTTCATTTTTTTTTGTCCATTTGATTACTCATGTACGAAACACGTATAAAATTATATATTTTAGTATAGCCTCAAAGCAAGCTATATATCGTGATCAAAATTCATGGAAAATAAATAAAAAAATGAGTACTCTGACCAACATAATTGTAAAATCTTGAGAAAAAGAAATTAACCGCTGGTTGACGAATCATAGCAATGGGAAAACCTTTTAGTCCCATCTAGGTTGAATTGGATTTTCACTTCTTTTTTTTTTTTTTTGACAAAAGATAATCATATAATAGATTCAAACAAAGAGTTACATCCTGGAAATCAGCCAGGCCCGATAATCAAAATAACGGTTTATATCCGGGTACATAGTGAGGGCCTTTCTAGCCACCAAGTGGGCTACCCTATTAGCACGCCGGCCTACAAACCGAACAGTAAAACCTTGATAGCAGGACAAATAATGAATCACTTCTTTCAGAATCGCCCCAATCCTGCCATCCCTACTATCCGCCAGCTGGAGTTTATCGATGACAACCTTGGCGTCCCCCTCAAAACGGACCATGTGGAAGCCATGGCCTATGCACCACAGAATCGCGTTTCGCAAGACCAGCAGTTCTACCACCAGCGGATCATCAATCACAGGAAACTGCATCCCAGCCGCCATCAGAAGGCCACGATTAGGGGTCATAAGCACCACACCTCCAGCTGAATGCGATCCCCTCCTAACGGCACCATCCCAGCAACAGATCACACCCATCCGCACATCCTGGCGCGAATTATGATCCGCCCCTGCCGCAGGCACCGTAATTGGTTTATCCACTGGAAGACGTATCCACTCTTCATACTGCTGCCTGAACTGTCTCATCAAGGCCTCCACTCCATACTGCTTCCCTTCAAAGACCACCCAATTACGAGAACGCCAGATACGCCAGAGGACTGCCACGATGGCCATAAACCGCGCCGGGCACTGGATGAGAGCCATGACCTTACTGAGAAACAAGGGGAAAGAGAGACGAGGCAATCCCTCCCCAACATGCTCAAGGCCTGCTGCTCCCCACAGTGCTCTAGCTACATGGCAATCCAAAAACAGATGCTCCAAAGTCTCTATCTCAGCCCAACATACCGGGCATCGAGGGTGAACCAGTATCTTTCTTTCCAACAAGGCCTCCGTCGTAGGAAGGATGCGCTGAAGGATCTGCCAGATAAAGACCTTCAATTTTGGTGGAATGTTAGCCTCCCAAAGGCGAATCCAGCCTTTCCGATCCATCCAATCGACCCGTGCTCGCCATCGTCCCCTCCGCCTGTCCAAGGAAACCGCCAGATGATAAGCCGACTTAACCGAAAAAACACCATCTGCAGTGTCATGCCAGATTAGCTTATCCTCAACATCCGCACGCGGGAGAGGAATAGCCAAAATGTTGCGACAGGTAGGAGGGTCAAACCACTGAATTAGTTTTTGCTCACACCAGCGACCTTCCCCTTGGCAAATGAGCTCAGAAACTGGGGGATCACCACCAGTAGGCAAGATTTGCGGGTTATATCGAAGAGGCTCAAACTGATTCTGGGGAACCCAAGTCGAGTGTAGCATGGATGCCGCTTGTCCATTACCAATTTGCCAACGAAGTCCCATCTCTAACAGTTGGCGCCCATACAGGATACTTTGCCATCCCCATGAGGGTCGAGACCGAGCTTTCGCATTGAGGAAATGGCCATTTGGAAAATATTTCCCCTTGTACACTTGGGCAAGCAAAGAGTTGGGCTCATGAAGAATACGCCAACCAATCTTAGCCAAAAGGGCTTGATTAAAGTGCTCAAACCTACGGAAACCCATCCCTCCCTCATGTTTACTCCGACACATATCCCTCCATGCTATCCACCGGACTTTCGTATGATTCTCGCAGTCCCCCCACCAGAAACGGGCAACATGTTTATCGAGCAGGCGGCATAGTGCCAGAGGCAGCTTGAAACAGGACATCACATGGAGGGGCAAAGCCATTGCAACCGATTTTATCAAGGTTTCTTTGGCCACCCAGGATAAAGTCCTCTGCTTCCATCCCTTGAGCCGTTCCAGGAGTTTCTCTTCCAAATAACGGAAGGTTTCCATTTTTGACCGGGCTATCAGTGATGGGAGACCTAGGTATTTATCATGGACCCCAACAGCCCCTACCCCCAAGATTGCAGCAAGGAACTCCTGGTCAGGTACTGAGATATTCCGACTGAAGCAAACCGCTGATTTTGCCAGATTCACTCTTTGACCACTCAGTTCCTCATACTCATTCAGGACCTCAATAAGATTTTCACACTCCTGCAGAGTTCCACGCAAGAATAAGTATGAGTCATCAGCAAAGAATAGATGGGAAATCTTTGGGGCCCGTGGGGCCACCTTAATCCCTGCCAATTTCTTATCTGAGATAGCCTTTTGCAGGAGCGCCGCAAATCCCTCTGTACAGAGTACAAATAAGAGGGGTGAGAGAGGATCACCCTGGCGAAGCCCCCTGGAAGGGGTGAAGTAACCAGACGGAGTGCCATTCATCATAACTGAGAAGGATGTAGACCGAAGACACTCCTGAATCCAACCTCGCCAGACGGAATTAAAACCCATTTTCTCTAAAACTGTGAGGAGAAAGGGCCATTCGACTCTATCATAGGCCTTTTCCATGTCAACCTTCAGGGCCATGTACCCTTTCTTCCCACGTTTTTTGATTTTTAGGTAATGCATAAGCTCATGGCCGAGGAGG